CTTACAGATAACTTTGAACTGGCACATCTGTAGTCATCTCCATTAATGTAAATTTACAAAAAATTAACTAGTGAAACAGGGACAGATAGGCATTTGTTCTCTGAAGTCATTTGGGCATGTCTTCATAATTCCAGGACATTGGGCAGAAGCTTCCTCTATCCTTTTCCTCAGAGTAATTCAAACACGGCAAATGACCCCTGTAGCCTCCTGGGCAAAGACCCATTTGTTTCTGATTCTTTCAAGGGTAAACAGGAAGGCTTTATAGAAAGCGTCAGCTTGTTTCTTCGACAGTTTCCTAGCACAGAGATAAACATATACCCTTCCCTGACATCCCTCCACCCTGTCCCAAGTGAAACCCTTGCTGGCTCTGTCTCTGTATCCTCTCTGGCCTTTCGTTTCGGGGGGGACTTGCCGGCTTGCCACTCCACATGGAGAACAGAACCGGATAGAGTAGGACAGGAACTTTCTATTCTCTCCGTTACATAGAAGCTCTCTAAGTCTCTCTAAGCTTTTCAGATATAACGTGTCTCTTACAAATATTTGTTCCTGACTTGCCATTAAGAAGATGAACTTTGAGAGTTGCAGAGTTTGCCTAGCAAGGCTGGCGTTATTCTTGCTGCCTGCCCATGGTGTGACCTTAGCCTCTCTCTCAGTATTTGGATTTCCGCACTTTATGAATGATACGAGTTTTTTAACGCTCTTTTTGCAACACTCCCTCCTCATGATTCCACAATCTTTCACATGGAAAGACCCATGTATTTTGTAAATCAAGGGGGAAAAGTCCTGATTATACATCAAGAGGCAATTATTAAGAGTGGCACGCAGGTCATTTTTCATCCTTCAGTCAACCACCACCCGCCGTGTTCACAAAAACCCCCAAGGCCACTGACAAGAAAACACCCAGGTTTCCTCTAGGGTCACTTGACTGTTCAAACTGCTTCTCAGTGGAAAACTTTTTAAACACTCAATTTTATTTATTGTCTAACACAGTTTTCCTGTCAGCCAGGTTTGGAGGTGTTTTCTGAAACATGAACGTCGTTCATCCAACACCAGAAAGATTCCAGAACCTTCCAGGGCACACATGGCCAAGCCTTCTAAGACTAGTTTCCACTGGAGGATCGTTCTGCCCTGGCAGGCGTTTCTGTAGCTTCTGACATTAGGGGAAAGAGGAATAACCTCTGCAGTGCTCCTGACATGATGTAATAGTAGAGTCATTGCTTCTGTAGTTGAATGGTTACCTCTGGAGGGGGGACCTACAGGGACGGCCTGGGTGGAAAGGCAGAGAGAGAAGCCTGCCTTCACTCATCACCACAGACTCACTGCTGTTCAGAGAGGCTGATCTTGTAGAACTGACTTAGGAAAGATTACTTCTCCATAAGTATAGGTTCTGATCAGAACCAAACTCTCTTTCCAGGCGGGGGTTGGGAAGGCCCCCGGCTTCCTGCCTGTTTGTGCACACATCTTGTTTTCTTAGGGGCAATGGGACTAAATACTAATTAACCAACTGTCTACATGATCAGCATAGAAGCGAGAGTCTGAAAAGAGTGGGAATCTTTTTTTTAATTACATTATTATTTGTATTTATTTTCTGCGTGCTGTTTCTGATTCCAAGTAATCACATAAAAGTTGCAAAGCCAGTTATACACCCTCTGAATGTTCCTGCAGAACTTGGAGTGGGGCGCTCCCTCTTTAGTGGTTAATAAAGGTCGGTGGCTTTCTTTTCCTTTCTAACTTTATTTGGGGTGTGCCCAGCCCTGAGGTCTGGGTTGTGGCTATGAGTAGGTCTCTGTATTCCAAGAAACACTCCTCAGACTTCTGAAGATGGGCAGAAAGACAGTGCCAAGCTGCCTGCCGCTGTGGCAGCACCAACGAAGAGGAAAAACAAGCCAGAGGCTGCGGGCGTGATCAGGGCCTGTGCAGGGATTGGAGTGGACATTTGGGGCTTCCAGAGGGATAATGACAAGTTTATCCACAGGAGTAAAGAGTTTGAGCAGCCAGAAGACGCTTGCGTAATATCCCAGCAAATCAATTTAAAAAGTTAAATATGACAATGAGCTAAAGAAAGACAGAAAGGAATTGGTGGATTTAAAGGAAATCTGCCAGCCTTCAAAAGTGAAAAACAAGCAAAATGGAGCTTGACGAGAGCCCAGTGGTCTTGGCTAGAGGCTCCAGAACAGAAGGCTGCAGTCACTTCATTGTATTCAGCACAAAGTCTCTAAAGCCGAGAGCAGGAAATCCTGTTGTCCCCACCCATGTTCTCAGTTGAGGTCCCATGACACAATATTCCTTAGATACCAGCAGAAACCCTTCTTACATGCAAAGGGGTGTAGTTCACAATATTCTTTAGAAAGTTGGTTGAAAGATCACGTCATTAAGGGCATGAAACATTTATCCACACGTTTATTCATCAATAATTTACTGAGTGCTATACCAGGGGAGGAAAAAGGAAAGGTTGAATGATGACTGATGAAAGAGACCAGTTAAGACACTCAGGTGAGCCTGTGATCTAAAATGATGCCTCTGAAGGTGGCAGACGCCCACCTGGGAGCATCTTAGAAATGCAAATTCCTGCCCCACCCAGCTTTACTGAAACAGAAACCCTGGGGGCAGGGCCCAGCCTTCTGTGTTTTAACAAGCTTTCCTGATGCATGGAAAATTTCAGATGTACAGGAACATGGTGTCTCAAACAATGATGTGTCCTGGCCATTTGTGAGATGTGTGGAAAGTAATATATTATTAATGAGAGTTAGCATACCGACATTTGTGAATAATTCATATGTATGTCACCTGCAAAGATCCCTGGCTCCTCCCAAATCCAACACAGTAGAAATATCCAGGTGTGGTAGCCAGTATTTAGTTTTAAAGCTTCCCAGGTGACTCTTAGGATCAGCCAGGTGTGGGAACCACTGGTCTATAAGAGCCATTTGCCCCATAACAAAGAGAAAAAATCTTGGAATTCTAGAGGGAGGTCCCTCGGATAGCAGGTTCCCTGCTTCTAACAAGTATTAGGCAGACCTCGATTGAAACACATGGAAGAGAAACTCCACTGACTGCAGCAGAAGTGGAGGCTGCTTGGTACCTTCCTTTCTGCAGTGGCTGTTGCAGCCCTTTATACTAATCTAGAGGCCAGGCAAAGTGGTTCATGCCTGTAATCCCAGCACTTTGGGAGGCCGAGGCCAGCAGATCATGAGTTCAAGCGATTGAGACCATCCTGGCCAACATGGTGAAATGAGGTCTCTACCAAAAATACAAAAATTAGCTGGGCGTGGTGGCACGTGCCTGTAGTCCCAGCTACTTGTGAGGCTGAGGCAAGAGAATTGCTTGAACCCGGGAGACAGAGGTTGCAGTGAGCTGAGATCATGCCACTGCACTCAGCCTAGTGACAGAGCAAGACTCTGTCATAAAAAAAAAAAAAAAAACAAATCTAGAGTTCTCAAAAATATGGTTTGAAAACCACTGATGGGGCCGGGTGTGATGGCTCATGCCTGTGATCCCAGCACTTGGGGAGGCCAAGGCGGATGGATCACAAGGTCAAGAGATCGAGACCATCCTGGTCAACATGGTGAAACCCTGTCTCTACTAAAAATACAAAAAATTAGCTGGGCATGGTGGTGCGTGCCTGTAATCCCAGCTGCTCATGAGGCTGAGGCAGGAGAATTGCCTGAACCCAGGAGGCGGAGGTTGCGGTGAGCCGAGATCGCGCCATTGCACTCCAGCCTGGGTAACAAGAGCGAAACTCCGTCTCAAAAAAAAAAAGAAAACCACTGATGGTTCTACCACCACCACCTCCTCCTGCCTCATAGACCCCATTCATTGATGAAGAAACTGAGGTTCAGAAAAGTAAAATGACCTGAAAACATGTGTCTGATCATTTAGGTCTGCCCAGGACTGATGGCTTCCCAGAAGTTAGAACTTTCAGTTGTAAAACAGGGACAGTCCCAGACCAACCAGGATGAACTGGTAACCCGAGGTTGGAGACTATACTACAGCCACAGTTCTTGTGTTTTGGCTTATTTATTATTGTTGTTGTTGTTGCTACTATGCTATATTACTGCAAGAAGAATTCAAATTACAATTTTTTTTCCAGCCCCTTGAGAAGTTCTTACTAAACTACTATGGTTTTCTTTTAAAAACCATATTTGTTTTTATTCCCTCATTCCAGAAGGATTTAAGGGAACATTAAAACGCTATTTTGTGTTTTCTGAAATACTCGTAAGTATTTCAAAATACCCTGGAATACTCCTGTGTCCGTGTCTCCTCTCTCTGACTTCAGACCCACCATGCCATGTGCATTTTCTCTCTGGCTTCCATATATTCGTGTGATGTTGGCCATGGTACATACAGTGCCTTACTGAGATCTGTGTATTGCTCAGAACTCTTTAGCTTGCCAGTAAAAGAAAATAAAAGGATGGAATATATCAGCTTAGGTAGCAGAAAAGACCTTCAGGCATGACTGGATGGGGGTTCCATCTCATCCGGACATGGTCCCTCTTCGAACCCATAGGAAGATAGTCATGCAGTTCCACACACCTGCATCCTCCCGGCAACCCAGCTGACGGCATCTCATCCCCAGTAGCTTTTGTAACAGTCCCTGGGGTGGACTCTGTTTGGGCTGGCTTGTGCTGTGCCCCTTCCCTAAACCAGTTGCTGCCCCCAGGACAATGGCATACTCTGATTGTCCAGACTGTGGCCCTGCATCCACCCCTGGCACCAGGGACTAAGAATAGAGAAATGTCAGTCCCCGAAAGAAAGTCAAAGATGGTTCCTAGAAGCAGAGGAGGAACAGATGCTGGGGAGGTGAAAGCAGCAAGTGTCCACGGTGGTCTTAAACAGTTCAAGAGGGCTGACCAACTGGTCAGCTGATGCACGGTCAACAGTGCGCAGCCCCGTGTCTTCCTCTGTCCCCACTCTACTGAGATCTAGGCACTATTTTCCCCTGAAACACTAGATTGCACGACTCCAAGTCCATCATTGTCAGTTCTAATTTTGAAGGCACGTACCACATTGGGCTGAAGCTAGCGGCAGCCCCAGAACCCGCGAGACTCCATCCGAAAAACGACAAGCTGGGCTCCCAAATATGGAGCTCCTGGGAGTTAGTAGCTGGTGACTCATGTTCCCACTGCTTCGGTTGCCCCCACGTTTTCCAGCTGGGTTGGTGACGTGGGACTCAGTACTTTCTTCAATGCGTCCCGTACACAAAGAATGAATAGCCCCAGAGCTCTTTCTTTTTCTTCCTGCCTTTCTTCCTGTAATTCATTCTCAGCCCAGCTCCGCTTTGTTCAAACCACAGCATTTCATGTTGCCTGGCAAGTTCTGACACAGCTGCTTGCTTTATTCTTTCAGTCTTCTGTTAAGCCAGGGGTAAAGTTATACCTTGTGGCTAATTTTTAGTCTGTAAACCTTATCCCTTGTTCAAGCTGAAATCTTAGATAAAATCAGCATGAAAGTGCCAGCTCCCCCCGGGACAGTTGAATTAAGGCCCCCATCACTCTTCCTGCCCTGACATTCAATTCAGTCTTTTTCAACTTTTATGAGTTGTTTTCTCTTACCCATGAGCAAGGTGGTGGCTTGGGTCTTTTTAAGCAATTTGCTTTTCTTCTTAATCACCCTGCCCCTATTCCATTGATCTATTTTCTTTTCTATATAATCATGTAATACATCTATAATTTGAGTCTCCAGCTTTCCATGTTAAAGGTGGGCTTTAGGAAGGTCTATTTTACAAACTAATAAACCTTTTGGTCCTATGGACTCTAACTAGTAGGGAGACCACTGTGTCAGCTTCCCAGGGCTGCTGTCACAAAGTACCAAAAACTGGGTGGCTTCAGATGACAGGCATAGATTTTCTGGAGGCCAGTAGTCTGAAATCACGGTGCTGGCAGGGTCACGCCCTTTCTGAACCTTCCGGGGGAGGGTCCTTCCTTGCCTCTTCCAGCTTCCGGCAGCCCCAGGCGTTCCTGGGCTTGTGTCTCTCCCACCCTTGCCTCCTTCTTCACAGGGCTGCCCTCTCCCTCTGTGTCTCTTTCACACACGTTCTCTTTCCCTCTTAAAAAAGGATACAAAGCAAGTTACATTGTATCAGGGCCCACCTTCATGACCTCATCTTAACTTGATGAAATCAGCAAAGATTTCTTATTATTTAATCAGAGCCTCAGTTTCTCCATCTATTAAAAGTGAATAATACTGTCTGTCTGCCATGAATGGAGATGTTTTATGTATAATTAACAGTTCCTATTTTTAAAAAGGCTTCGTGATTTTATATGTGGGTATAAATTTTTTGTGTGTATATACATATACATACTCACCTATACTTAACATGATCTTTGATGTAGTCATGTGATATAGTTGAGGAAAGCGTCATTCCAAATAAAAGTCCAAATTTCCAAATAAGTCACATTCACAGGTGCAGGGAGGTAGGACTTCCACATACCCTTTCATGGGGAGGGGAGACAGCCAGGAGAGAGGAAAAACAGGCACAGAAAAATACCTCTTTGATCTTGGTCAACTGAAAAGGAGATCCTGATATTCTCAGAGGATGTTCACCCAGAAGGAGCCTAGGACCCCGACGGGCACATCTGGAGATAGAGGCAAAAGCCTAGCGACAAAGGTGATGGCTCAAGGGGACAGGAGAATCCACTGGAGGGTGACAGGCAAGGACACACGCCTGTTTAAAGAGCCTACTGTGTGCCGCATGTGCCTTTATCCCTTTGAATTCTCAAATAACTCTGCCAAACAGTTGCTATTATTCTCATTTAATAGATGGAGAGACTGAGATTCTGATTGAATAATGAGACCCAGATTATACACCTATAAGTGGAAGAGTGAGATCACCGTTGCTATTACCATGGTCCCTAGTTTTGAATAGGCATTGGAGCTCTCGTGCTACTGTGTACCAAGGATGTTATCTATATTAATTGAGATCGCCACAGCTCACAAAGCTGGATATTGTTGGCCTTATACAGATGAAGAAACAGAAGCTCAGAGAGGTTCCGTCCCTTGCCTGGAGTCACACAAGCATTACATAATTGAGCCAAAATTTAAACTCTGGTCTTTCCTTACCGTGATGCCATGTTGCTGGTGGGCATTAGGGTATCTAAATCAGTATATTCCTAGCTTCAGAGAAAGAAGCTGTATAAAGAAGCCAAGTGATTGTACTTAAGTCTTAACATCTATACTGCCCACCAGGATATGTATGCTCCATCTATACCCAGAGGCTGAAGAAACGCCTGTGGTGTAAAGAACTCACTTTTCTAGAGAACTGGGGAAGGGATTAGACATGTTAACCCTGAATTAAAGGAAACTTGGGGCGGGGTAGGCTCAGAGAGTGTTCAGAGTTCAGGAACGTGGCCTGTGGAAGAGCAGGGAGACTGGAAAGGGCCCGTCCTGTGTCTGTGTGGAGGCAGCTCTGGGCCCTGCTTGAACACCCATGGGCGAGCCACTTGACCCACCTTACAGTGGAAGAAGCTGGTGCCCAAGAGCCACTGGAGAAACCTCAGCAGCCGCCTGGCATTCCCCAATGACCATGCTGCTCACAACCCTCAGGGGTCCCTTGTTGCTTTTGGGACTGCAGGGCAGGCAAGATGTCTTCACCTATCACTAGATTCATGGCTGAGGCCCCCATAATGAAAGCCAGATGAACAAGAGAAGAACATAGAAATGCATGGAATGTGAGTTTTACACAACACAGGAGCCTTTGAGAGAAAATGAAGAACCAGAGTTTTACACAACACAGGAGCCTTTGAGAGAAAATGAAGAACCAGAGAAACAGGGAAACCTGTGTGTTTGCTGTGCTAGGTTGGAGGAAGAGTGCACAGTCATAGAGAGGTGTGGCCCAGCAAAGCAGGTGATAACCTGGAGGGAATGTCACCAGGTTTGTTGGCTCAGATTCTCCTCTGTGTCCTTGTGTCTTCAGAAATACGGATGTTTCTTTCCTCTGAGTATGCAGGCATCACTCACACCAGGGTCCGACGTCCTACCTCAAGGGAAGGTCAGGAAATCCTTCCTGGGACTGATGACCTGCTTCAGAGAGATGGGTAGAACAAAGGAAAGTGAGAGTGACCTTCCTGCTTTTGCTGTTTTTTCAAATGCCAACGTTCTATTTTTGGGGGCACTATGTCCTGAAACCCATCAGGATGAAGTCCCAAATCCATGAAGCCCCTCCTGAACTGGACCATCCTAATGCTCCAGCCTCAGCTCCCTCTGCTCCTGTCCTTGAACTTCACATTCCAGCCTGGGGACTCCTGGCAGTTCCCTAAATATGCAAAGAGCTCAGCTTCCTTTCCTGGTCCTGGTCCTGGTCACTCAGCCCTCTCTGTCTCTCCCCTCCTTCTTCCCATCTCTCTTCCTTTCTGGCCCATGTCCCTTGTACATACTGTAAACTCTTCCTGGAACGTCTCCCTTCCACCTGTGAATCTCTTTCCAGCTCACTCCTTTTCTCTCTTTAAGAATCCACTTCTCAAAAGAAAATGGCAACTCTCTGAGGTTGCTGATTAGCTTAATCACCGTGGCGTTCACAATGTATACATAAAACAATTTGTACACATTACTATGTATGAATTTTTTTGTCAATTATATATTAAGAAAGAGAAGTGGGTTTGGAAAGACTCCACTTCTGCCAAGACGGCTTTCTGACCGCCCCCCAACCCTGGGTGATGTTCCCTGCCATGAGCCCCCGAGTGTTTTCCTATATATGCTATGTGTATATGGCATCCCGCTCACTTGCTCACTCTCCCGTGTCCCCACTGTGAGGTCAGTGGCAGAGCCTTGTTCAGTGTTTGTCATATCCTCTCCAGCACCCACCATGACCTCTGGCACTAAGTAGTGGCTCAATAAGCCAATCATTGTGTTGATGCACCAGTGACATTGAGGGGAGGTCAGGCCCACCGAACTCTGAGATCCTGTCTACTCCGAGAGTCTGTGAGTCTGTATTTCTGCTCCCACAGTTAGTCATGGAGGAAGTTGCCAAAGCAGATGGTGAGACTTCTCTTTGGGGTTGTCCAGGTCTGCCTGGCCTTTGCAATTTGTAATCAGGTCATTTGAAAGAGAAACTGAACCGAGAGAAAAACATAGTTTGGATGAGGCAAGAGTTACAAAATAATGAGTCATGTAATGGTGATGACGGCCTCTGGTACCATATTGGGCCCTGTCCAGATTATACAAGACTTTGTATGTATACCCTTGAGCATGGCCAAGAGGACAATAGTCAAAACCATGGCTTGAGTGTTCAAAAGCCTCTTTTCCCTTAACGTGTTGCCTCTAGAGGTCAGACTGAAATCCTGAACCTGCAACAATTTCCTCCTTAGGACTGGAGATACATGAAGAGATTGGAGCTACCTATATGTTACCGTGTTTACATGCCATATAAATGGGATAACCCTTGCACTCTTTGGCCATTAACATTCAGGTGTCAATTAGTTTATTGTTTGTTAGATCAAACTATATTGCCCAGGCCAGCTCCTGAAGAACTGGGAACTGTGAACATCTCCGCCTAGAAGGTCAATGTGACCTTTGGTTTGCACACCATCCATTGTCTCTTTCAAACCGAGAGATTCTCTGAGCTAGATAGGCCAGGGATTTTTTTTAAGTTTTATTTTAGGTTTACGGGTACATATACAGGTTTGTTACACAGGTAAACTCGTGTCATGAGGGTTTTTGTATAGATTAGTTGGTGACCCAGGTATTAAACCTAGTACCCATTAGTTGTATTTTCTGCTCCTCTCCCTCCTCTCATCCCCAACCCTAGGATAGTTCCCATTGTGTGTTATTTCCCCGAATGTGTCTATGTGTTCTCATAATTTAGCTCACACTAATAAGTAAGAATATGCGGTGTTTGATTTTCTGTTCCTGTGTTAATATGCTGAGGATAATGGCTTCCAACTCTATCCACGTTTCTGCAAAGAACATGATCTCATCCTTTCATATGGCTGCATAGTATTCCATGGTTTATATGTACCACATTTTCGTTATCCAGTCTACCATTGATGGGCATTTAGGTTGATTCCATGTCTTGGTTATTGTGAGCAATGGTACAATAAACATATGTGTGCATGCGTCTTTATGATGGAATAATTTCTGTTTCTTTGGGTGTAGATCCAGTAATGGAATTGCTGGATCAAAGGGTATTTCTGTCTTTAAGTTTTTGGAAATCACTATGCTGCTTTCTACAACGGTTGAACTCATTAACATTCCCACCAATGATACATAAGCATTCCCTTTTCTCCACAATCTTGCCAGCATCTATTATTTTTTTATTTTTTGTTAGTAGCCATTCTGA